AAAATGAGTTTGATTTGCACGAAAATAGACACTCAGATAAAACACATTTTCATATGAATGGTTTCGTACGTAATAACACACTTGAAAAGATTACTCGATTCTGATTGGCTAAGAGCAGTGCAGTTCAAGTGTAACAGCAGTGCAATAAGTTAAAAAATCAACTGAATACTATTTACAAATGTTGCTATTTAGCAGACATCGTTTTCTTTTTCATTGCTTTTCTTCGCTTTACTTTACGGTCTAGGAAGGCGTCTGCTGGTCCAAATCGTATCTTTAAAATCGTGAATATGACGTCACAAAACTCCACCACGGTCAGAAGACTGGCACCAATACAGAGGCCGAGCAGCCCGCCTATCTCACCTGTAAAGAAACGATCAAGAGACTGGATATATGACTTGCTAGCAAACATGTTGGGAAAGCTTTTTATGTGTTGACAATTAACAGAGAAGCTAAACAAATAGATCAAAGTGCAAGCAAAATTCAAACCATTAAAATGGGCTTTTTGCAAGCAGGTTACGTTTCTATTTGATTAATACGTTTTGTTATTCTAAAAATATATATTTTGTGAAAGCAAAAAAAAGGCCTAATTGGCAAAAAAAGTTTAAAACAACAATATACTAGGTCTAAACTATTGATTTTTGCCTTCAGTTCTCCTTTAAAGTCACAGAGTCTTCAGGGTGTCCGAGGGGTTTTGGGAACAGGTATACATTATCATCTATGTAAGAGAACAGGGGATATCTGCACATTAACTTGAACCTTTAGTGAGCGAGACAGTAAAACGAAATTTTTGAGGGATCAGGGGACATGTATACCCCCCCCCCCCAAAATAAATTAAAAATTAGGAGACCCTCAATCGCGTTCCATCTGTTCAACTCAGTGCAGTGAAGTAAAAACTTGGTCCATACAGAGAAAGTCCGTTTCAATACTAATGATCGAGGAAGTCGTGGCATCGATGCCAGCGCGAAATCTAATCGAAGAAAAGCCACAAGCATTTCTTCTTTCCATTGCAGGAAGCCCCCCTGTCCTCCCGTCCCTTTTCTCGTCTTTCACAAAAATAATTTGAAGGTTACTGTTTATACTCCTGGACCTGGAGAGGCGCTGTGAGATTGCAATAAAGCGCTTTGCCTAACATAATAAGGTGAGATTAACACTTACCTAAAAGGCTTTGGTCATCGTACGCTGGTTGCTGTTTGATCAGTTCGTAGCTCATTTGTTGGAAATACACGTTTAGTTCAAGCCGGTTCTCACTTTCAAAAATGGGAGAAAAACGTAAAGAAAACAAAGAAAAAGAAAGAAACAAATTGATTTTTTTTGTCAATATATTCAACTAAGGTTAAACAATCTCAGATACCAGTTAATTGTTGAGATTTGTTTGCTATACTGTGAGAAATTATGAAAGATAGGAAACCTGTAGAGCAGAGCAATACGCCACCGAGAGTTCCTGCGTCATAAGCTGCTACTCAAGCGTTAATAATTTGTTCGTACTAGGTTTAAATGCGCCTGAGACTTCGAGATAAAAATTGCATTTATTTGTGACAACGTAGACCAGCAGGGATTCTTGTTATCTTTACAAGCAATATATCAAACACGAAAGACCGTGCTTGACCACATTTCTAAACACACGGAGAGAGAGAGTTGAAAATACGCCGAGTAGCACCTCGAGATGTTTTTAAATGAGGTCAAACACGGTCTTGAGAGTTTGAAATATCTTCTCAATCGAAACTAAAATTGTGAGAAAAGGGAGAAATAAAATCGTAAAATCTATTCTAATTAAAATCAGACGTCCATGGCCAAGCGCCGTCAGAGTTCAGTATATGGTTTCCTTCGTTTAAACTTGTAGAATTATTAATGAGTTTGAGAAAGTAAAAAGTAAAATAGCGTTTCAACCCGAGGACACTAAATAACTTAAGAGCCAACAAGTAACATGAATTAAGCGGCTTGGCGGCATATTCCAGGTATTAATTTATGTTCTTCTCCACGCTGAATAAAATGCTAAGCTATGATATGTGGTTACCTAACTCCATGTTTCATGACTGGAATTTTACGGCAAGTGGATTTGGGGACTGGATATAAACAGAGCCCAAGAGGTGACGGTCACTTGCAACACACACCTGTAGTTTTCATGTAGCGCATCAGCTATTCCATCGAGTCCTTCTTCAGTGTTTGGAAAATCTTGTCGTGCCTTGTCATAAGCGAAGCTTTTGCTAGGAAATGCACCGTAGGACAGGCTGGGTTTGTAAGAAATTGTCTCACAGGGCACTTGGCAATCACAGTCATCACCTTCGAACTTGAAAAAATTTTCTGAGAAAAAAAAGCGATTGATTTTTTGAGAATGGCATTAAGATAATGGCAGAAAAAAAAAACCCCAACTATTTAGGAGTTCACCACAGTGTTAGTTAAGAAAGCGGTGAATAGAGATGGCGCCGTAAGAGCGCTCATCTCCCACAAAAATGTGGCCCAGGTTCGATTCAAGCCCGGTGCCATATGTGGGTTGAGTTTGTTGTTGGTTTTCATCCTTGCTCTGAGTATTTTTCCCCAAAGTGCTTCGGTTCCCTCCCTCGACAAAAACCAATATCTCCAAACTCCAATTCCACCAGGATAGAGGACAAACATGAATACCAGCCAAGGCTGATGTGGTTTCCTCGCTAAATATTGTAATTTAAAGTACATGATCACCTGCATCCCTGCACCCCACTTTTACGTTTAGACTTCAGTATTTTTCTTTGGCTCTTGGAGAAATGGTGAGCGGTTGTCCAATCTATCTCCATTCAAAACAATATCGCTAAAGTCGGCACGAAACCTTCAGTCGAAGACGGACACTTCAACTAGAATCTTGACTAGAGTCTAGAATCTTAATAAATCATCAGAGTATATTGCTTGAAATGAAATAAAACTCGAAGAGGACAGTGGTAAAACATTGCTGAGACGTGTTAAAAACGTAGCGTATGACCGGAAAGGCTCCTTATGTGCATTGTGGTCACCTACCCATTTCTCGAAAAACGCATGTCGCCGTATCATTCAGATCACATACTTGTACTTCATTATCTGTCAGGGCTTAAAAAAAATCAACAAGTAAATTAAACAAAGTTAAAAATATTTGAAGAATGGAGCTATTAAGTCTTGTACTTAAATTACTTTCCTTTGCTCGGATAACAGACTTGTTATGAAGCTAGTTCTCAAATGGAGAACTGGGTCCCATTTTGATAAGTTAATAAAGATGG